TCTCAAATTTTATTTTCTCATACAAGGATCATTTTCAGGGCCAGGGAGCCAGCCCTCTACCAATAGCGGTTGACCGTGTACGTACAAATCTATAGTTTGCAGTAGTGTTGGATCGTGACCCCTCCTCCCTGAGTTAATTTTAATTTGTAAAAGCTTACGTAGGTCATTAGGTGGTTCCACTGCAAGTGACGACAGCCGGCTGGAACGAATCCAAGACGACGCATCACCTCGATCGCGACGATGGAGGATGCATGGATGGTCCGTCCGCTGTTTCGTCATTTTTCGCGTGGCTGTGTGGGTGTGGCGGGCTGACGGCCGTGCATCCACCGGCGACGTACATCATGACGTCGGCGTGTCGTCTTAGCCGGCCGCCTTAGGGGTGTTTGAATCAAACGGTCCGTTCGCTGGTAAGTTTCTGAACTGATAAATTTGACTGGTGCTAGTTTATTGTGAGAGAAAAATATTGTTGGCTGACTGATAAGCCCTGGCTGAAATCAACAAGCGAACAGGTTGAAAGACTAAAGTTTAGAGATATCACATCGGTTGTCACATCGAGTGTTCGGATACTAATAATCACCCTGTTCGCTGATGCTGAAATTTGGCTACGCTAAAATGTTGTGAGAGAAAAACACTGTTCTATGGTTGAAAAGTAGTTCTGAAAGTGAACAGGGCGAATAAAATAAGTTACTGAAGTCCTCAGTATTCCGCGAGACGAATTTAATAAGCTTAATTAATCCATTATTAGCATATGTTTTACTGTAGCACCACATCGTCAAATCATGGATTAATTAGGCTTAAAAAAATTCGTCTCACAAATTAGTCTCAATCTATACATTTAATTTCATAATTAATCTATATTTAATACCATATATATATATATCAAACATCCTATGTAACAGGGCTGAAGTTTAGGAGCGGGGAAGCAAGCCCAGCCGACCAGCAGCAGCTAGCTACTACAGTAGCTAGATTCGCTCATTCGTATCGGTCAAGTTTGAACCAGCGGTACGATACGAATAATAAGGCCTCGCTCCGTGCCAACGCGTACAACAAGAAATCGTAGCGTTGATGTCTACACATACGCTGCTCGCCAGAACAGTCATTCTGTTTTGTGCTCGCCAGATCACTACGAAGTGCATGCGTATTCAAATCGATGGAGCTGACACGCGCGCGGTTGGTACTTGGCACCGAATCAGCGAGACGATACGATGGAAGAACCCATGCTGGGACCGTGACCGGCTCACGTGGACCGGCGTGGTGCGGTGCAGCGTCCGCCAGCCGGCCGGCGGGGGTGGAGGGAGGTGGCGCCGGCGCGCGGCGGCGGCCATCCAGCCCAGCTAGCCGGTGGTTTTCCCACCGGGCACACGGTTCTCTCCCGCAGACGGCAGGTGCTGCGCCCGCGCGCCTCGAGCGTTTGGCTCCTGGCTGCCGTGACTCAGCCACTCAGGGACAGGGTGCGGACCGCGACACGTATGGCTGGTCGATCCACCGTCCACCATAGCGAATTAGCAGATTTGTGCATGCATGACTAATAACTTCACTGATGACTCGTCGATGCACGCACCAGCAAGCGTTTCTGAAGTCCCTCCCTTGTACTTCTCGTAGCGCATGCATGTATGTAAGGCTGCAGTGCAAGTGTCTTTCAACTTTTGGCATCAGATGAGCCGAGCGGCTAAACGCGTACACGTCGCCTCCCACTTTTGGTACTGAGACTGATGCCTGAGCCTGATGCATGGTTTGTCACGAGACGGTGGCTATCGTGATAATAAGTACAACCTCCAGATAGCCACGTCAGGGGCAAACTAGCTACACACACGGCCACGAGAAGATGACCCAACCAGGCTTCCCAGCCTACACGTGCAAGTGCAACAAACATCATCTCACTCGCCAACATGTTCAGCATCTCATCACCAGTGTTTTTATCCATCACAGCCAAAGCGAATGGTTCAGCACACAGGAAAAAGAAGATACTACGTAGAAAATAGAAATTAATTAAAGGTAGGCTACTATGCCCTGGTATCAAAAGCAGCTGCTTCGATCAGGGCAATCGTGCACACAAACAATAGCAAACACACGCATATAACATCAGAAATGCTATATAACACATGTATTTTAGTAAAAAAAAAATATATGGGTTTTTTTTTATCTCTCTCCCTCTCTTTTTCTCACCGGCGCGCACACGGCGAGCGCACGCGGCAGCAGGAGAACCAACATCAACACGCGAGCGAGCGAGCACGGCGGCCGTCGGGCGAGCGCACACCGGCACGTGAACGTGCAGCGCGGGCTAGTGGACGCGACGGGCGAGCATGGCGCGGCTCCAACAAGCGGACGCTGCGGGTGAGCGGATGCGGCTCCGACAAGCGGACGGCTAGCGGCATGGGAGGAGCGTCGAGCGAGGCAAAGGCGAGGGGGCAGCCTGGGCGCCGATGGTGGCTACCTACAGCGACCGCGACCTGCGGCGGTGGTGGCGGCGGATCTGTGATTTGTCATTCCATAGAAAAAAATTGTTTCTGTGATCTGTGAATCTGTGATCTTGTGATTGTCTGAAGGTAGAAAAAGGGGAGGTAGAATAAGGGTAGATGCTGTAGGATCTTAATCTTATGGTGTAAAAAAATTCATGTGTTAAAATTATATAAAACATATGGTGTGTAGTAGACTCTGTAACATCAATAGCCCCGCAAAAAGAGTTGAGTTACACGTATGAAAATTACCATCGAAGCTAATAGTTTCTGAACGCAAGCAACACTGGCATCTTCGCTCCTCTTGGTTCCCACCATTCTCTCTGGCCTCTTTCTCTTGTCCCTAAAATCACTTTTCTTTCATTTCTCTCTCCGCTGCTGTGCTGATGCTGGATGCACCATTTCCACAGTGCGCGTCCTGATAGCTACTTTGCCTTTTCGTCGGACAAAGCTATTGACTCTTCTGAAAGAACTTTCGACACACTTCAAGCTACACTTCGCTGTGACATGGAGGATGGATGCGGACGAGTATCTTGAAGCAGCACGCCACCTGTAGTGTTGGGGAAGGCCTAAGAGCAACTCTAACGTATGTTCCTATAGCAAGGTACAAGGATTGACATCAACAGGTGCTTAGTTGTCCAAAAAGTCTCTAACGTGTAAAGCCGGTTAGCACCTACTGAACGGGCCCACAACAAATAAAGATTGCACCGGGTGCTTATTAAATTATTAGCCACAGGTCCCTACTAAAATTTAGTCCCCGTCACGTCAAATGCTGGAGACACTAATTTAGAGTATTAAACGTAGACTAATTATAAAACTAATTATACAGATTGAGAGTAATTTACGAGACGAATGTTTAAACTTTATTAAGCTTATATTTAGTCTTTCTAATTAGTATCCATCCACTAAACATTAATTCCTGTATCAAACACTCCGGAGGCCTGGTGCTATGTGTCTCACTGTCCCGTTTACGCCGTGTGCACTGGCGCATTGCTTCAGCTGACACGCACGCGGTTGGTACTTGGCACCCAATCAGCGCACCGCGATGCAGACGATCGAAGAAGAGCCCATGCTGGTTGCTGGGCCCGCGACCGGCCCACGTCGCCTTCCTACGGTTTCTAGTGCTGTAACGAGCGAGCACCGAGCGGAAGCAGACGTGGCGGCGGCGGCCGGCGGGGCAGTTTGCGGCGGCCGTGCAGTCCAGTCCAGTCCGGCGCGGCGCGGTGGTAGTGGTACACACGGTTGGTTTGGTTCTCTCCAGCCGGCAGGTGCGGCGCGCCGCGCGCGTCTCGAGTCTCGACCTCGAGCGTTTGGCTCCTCCCGGCTGCCGTCTTGACTCAGGGACAGGTGTCCCTGAGCCTGGTAAATACGTCGCCTTCCATGTTTGGTACTAATAATAACTGACTAATAATGGTTTGCCAGACAAGATCAGGAATCAGCCTCACTCACGCGCACTGTTACGACGACGACGAGGCGTTCCGTCCTTTCTCCCGCTCTCTTTCCATCTTTCTTTCCATTTGATTGATATATATCAGGATGATCTTGAGCAGAGACGTGCTAGAGCTACGTTCTCGCCTACTCCTTCCTTACCGCTTGCAGACGCGGGACTTCACGGTGCTGGGCTGCTTTGGGGTTTGGGCTTTGGCACAAGCATGGTGCTCGCCCATTGTAAGTTAAATAAATCTTTTTATGTCTGATGCAATTGCTAGAAAGAAACAATAATATTTATGACATCAAATGTACCTAATTTAATGATACTAATTTGGTGTCATAAACCTTAGAAATTTAGTCAAACTTGAAGGAAATTTTGACTTAAAACGACTCTAAGAATTGATTTATTTAAGGACGGGGAGAGTAGAAAAATATGATTTATATATCCATTGATGAAAATTATAATTTGTAGGTTTGAACTTGCAAGCACGGGCAAGACAGGACACATGAGCTACTGTCATAGCCTCCATTGATGAAAATTATAATTTGTAGGTTTGGACTTGCAAGCACGGGCAAGACAGGACACATGAGCTACTAAGTCTGTCAAGCCAATCGAGCTGAAACGAACAGGCTGCGTATCTCGTTTTCATTCCTTTACAGGGTCTTTTCAAATTCCAGTGCCCCTCTTTCCATGGAAGATGACTCACCGCCTCGCATCGTTATGCATAACCAAAACGATGACGATGTGAGGCAGCAAAACTTTAGCACTCTGGACACATGGCGTCATGGCCAGCTGCCGATGGCCATCAAGCTACAACGAATGATTACCCTCAGTAATCCGGCCACGAGAAAATAAATAGAGCCAGGCTTTCCTCAGCCACAGGTTGCAAGAAACATCATTTCACTCATCAACACGAGTTGGTTTATGCTCAACTTACTTATCCCTAGTGTTTTCATCCATCGCAACCAAAGCGAGTGGTTCACAGCACACAGGAAAATCATCTAGTAGAAAACATAAAACTAAGGTAGGCTACTGTGCCCTTGTAGCAAAAGAACTGCTCCAGGGCAATCATGCTCAACACAGCCCCCAGCCATGCCTTCATCTCGCTTCAGTCAGTGCATCTCCTTCCTCAAGTCGTTGAAGTAGGGGTGCTCCAGGGCCTTCTTCGCCGGGATTCGTTTCGCCGGTTCGTACTCCAGCATTTTCTGCAGCAAACCAACACAAGTAAGAATAGCAATCTCCGCAGATATAACGCCAGAATTAAGAGTACTGAACCCTCTGCATGATTCACTACCGACTGAGTACTGACCTCAAGAAGATCGTAGCCATGAGCGTCGAGACCGGGCACAAGAGTGGACAGCTTCGTCGGCTTCCACTGGGGGTACTCGTGCCAATTGGGCAGCTTGCCAACGCCTGGCCACACCTCCTCATTCGGGGTGCCCAGCAACCTGCCATTCGAGGAAACAGGATGGATCACCGTCAGTATCAGACAGTCACCACTCACCAAGGTGTGCATAATCGTCAGTATCAGATAGTATCAAACAATGAACTATGGCACTGGGGGGGCATTACTTGAAGATGTGGAGCAGCTGCTGCAACTCGGAGTCACCAGGGAAAAGTGGCTGGTTAGTGACCAACTCAGCTGCAATTTACACCAGGTTAGAACTCTGAAGCAGTTTGCATTCAGAAGTGATCTCCGAGTTCATCGAAATCGTACCGAATATGCAGCCAACAGACCATATGTCAACAGGAGTGGAGTAGTGCGTGGCGCCTAGGAGAATCTCGGGAGCCCTGTACCAGAGAGTAAGGATCTGCAGAAAAACGGTTCAAGTTAATTCCAATGTTAATCAGATCCGAGAACTGTGGGTGATGGAGACCGACCTCGTGGGTGTACTTCTTGACAGGGACGGTGATGGCGCGGCTGAGGCCGAGGTCGGCGATCTTAAGCGCCATGGTCTTGCGGTCCATGAGCAGGTTGTGCGGCTTGAGGTCCCGGTGCAGCACTCCACGGCCGTGGACGAAGGCCACGCCCTTGCACAATTGGTACATGAGGATCTGCGAGTACAAACATGAAACATGGGGTAACGCATTCGCACAAACACCTGGAGCGCACGGCATTGGGTTGGACAAGGAGGAAGAGCGGGCAGGAAACCACGTACCTTCACGGTGGCCGCGGGGATCTTCTCGCGGTTGCTGCGGTGTCCGCGGATGAACTTCTTCAGGTCGGTGTCCATGTACTCGAAGACGAGGTAGAGGATGGTCTGCCCCTCCTTGTTGACGCCCTGCTTGAGGTCCAGCAGGCGCACCACGTGCGGGTCCTGCGACAGCATCCGCAGCAGGGAGACCTCCCGCATCGCGGTCGGGGGCACGCCCTCGTCGTCCTCGGGGAGCCGCGTCTTCTTCAGCGCCACGATCCGGCCCGTCGCCTTCTCCCGCGCCCTGTACACCTTCCCGTACGTCCCCTCCCCGACCTTCTCCAGCTTCTCGTACAGGTCCATCGCGCGCTGCCCGCCGCCCGTCGTCGTGCTCGGTGCCGCTGCCGCTGCCGCCGCGGCCGCCTGGTGCTGGATCGTCGCCATCGGCCGGATCCGGCCCTCGCTCTCTTGCGCGCGGCGGAGTTGGGTTGCTCGTCGGAGATGGCGTCGGTGGGTGGATGGAGTAGGGTTTGGGATTGAGGGGAGGATTTGTATGCGGGAGGGAGCGGAGGAGGGGGAAGACGGAAGAGAGCCGTTTGAGGGGAGGCGCTCCAACAGCTTTCTTTTGGGGATTACGAATTTGGAATCGCCCACTCTTTCGGTGGAGGGACTGGAGGCGCACGCGTGGGATGGGCCGTTGCTTTGCTTTCATACGAGCTATGGGCCGTTGTTGGCCTTCGTGGGCCGTTGCTTTGCTTTCATACGAGTTATGGGCCGTTATTTGCCATCGTACGAGTTAGTTACAGGCAGCGTTTTCGATAGAAATGTAAGCTAAGAATTGATTATAAAACTCGAACCGCGTGGCTAGACAGCCCCGGGTATTCCGGCTTAAGAAGAAAATCTTCTCACGTAGATCGAGAAAATCTCCAAACCTCTGTCCCACCCATACACAGTGGCACTGCTTTGGATGTGGGGCTGACGAGGGAGTTTTTTTTCTCCCTCGTCACAGCGGTCGAAGCCACAAATAAAGAGTGAGTCCCTTGGGACTTAGAACTCTGACCACCCCAAGCGGGAGGTACTGAGTAAAAAAAACGAAATCCAACCTAGGAGGAACTAGGTGGTTTTTCATTAAGAATAGAAATAGGCACCCAAATTCAGTGTAACAGGGGACTTGAACCTGGATGATTGGGTGCATTGCCACATCTCTTACCCAACTAGTTGAGCTAGGCTCACTTTAAAAAAAGAGAGAGAATTGATTATATGAATCTCATTTTGACTATTTGCTAATTTTTCAGCTGCCAAAAATAAATAGGACCGAGTATGCCCTGCAAGCTGCCAAAAATAAATAGGATCGAGTCTGCAACACAAATATGGGGAAAGGGCGTTTTGTGTGGCCTTTGTCAAAGTGGCTCTTCCTACCAGTTGAGAAGCAGAAGCTTTGATCCGAAAGCACATACCATGTGCGAGGACTTTGGATCCATGGCATTCCAGAACAAAGAGATTAACAATTCGAATCAAGATAACCCACGTCTTGAGACCGTGGGTGCAGATCAAATAATCCAATCAAACATGCTACTAAACCACTCCAAGATCACAAATTCTGACAGGTAACAGTTGCAGCATCACCACAGAACATCAACAGCTAAGTAAGCAAATACAGAAGTTACTTATTACAACCACATCACATGAATCAGCAATGCATAATGCTCTGTTTTTCGTTTGGTATAAGTGAGTTCCCAAAGACTGGATGCGGCAAAAAGCGTCATCCACCTCATGCAAGACTTCCAAACTGTCAATCCAGTACACAGGTAACAGTAAGCAAATACAACGGTTACTTACACTAAAACAAAAAGATCCATTATTTTCTACAACACAGCACACTCCCGAAAGAATCTACTGCTGCCCGGTGTTTCCTAACAGCAGCATAAAACCTCTGCAGTAAAGCCTAACAAAGTAGTACTCCGTGGTAGTTACTGTATATAAGAGCTGTTGCCCTAACTTGTTTGATGTAACTGTTCGCACACTCAACTGCAGGCTATACCTGGGCTGCAAGGATCTCATTCCATGTATCCGGTACGCCAGGAAGGCACCAGTGCAAGCAATCTTGAACACCCGGCGTGGCCTTGATACTTTACCGTGATATATGCCCTTCGTCCCTCAAACGTGACAACGCAGTGACATCCAGAAGCTTGATCCTGGTTCCCCTCACTGCACCCTCAGCGTCACTATCCTTGGAATGGTTGAGGTGAATGCCACTTCCCTTGGCCAAAGGGTTTGTGTTATCACGGCTGCCTCCGGTGTTCCAATCCCCATTAAAGAAGTGCCAAGGCGATATTGTCCTATAGAACACCTTCAGCTGGGGGTGGCGAGGGAGCTGGGCATCCATCCACTTGACGATACTGTGGATGATGAAATTTTTGACCTTCCAGATGATAGAAATGTTCCTGTTGTTGTTTGGTGCTCCACCAAGATACATCTCCCACTTGTTTGCCCTTAGCTTCCCTCGGTTCCAGTGGTGACCAGTGTTAAGAACCAGAACATGGAATATGTGAAGATTGTTCTTCAGAAAAGCAGGTGGCCGGCCAAGGTGCATGGCATAACTGGTTGCTCTATCTGATGGATTCAGAGGTTCCAAGTCACAGTGTTGATGACCAATGGTATAAAATTGTTGTATCGGTGCTCGGGAACCGATAGGCCCAGCCATCTGGTCTTTTTGCACCTGGTGCTAGCACAAAGCCATACTCTGCACCAACATCTTCCACATCTGGCCGCTGCTTTCCACCAGTGACCATACACATCATTGATTGAAACATCTGCCTCCCTAAAGAATCACCCACATAAGCAATGGTTTTATCCTGCATTCTGAAATATATCCAAATTAGTATTTCCATATTGACTCAAAGATGTAGGCCAAACAGTGCAGCACAAACTATCTCCAAATTGATCAGATACTGGCTATGGTCATGTACCTTCCCAAGAACTGAGAGGCCTCAAACTCTGGCATTTCACAAGCTTCAGGCTGCCATCTAAATTTTTCATATGCAAAATCTGTTCGTTGGGTTAATCTGCAGGACCAACTCTCTGAAAGCCAATGTTTACAACCAAACCCTGAGTATAGTGGTCTACGATTGTCAGAAACCCACTTTCCATTCCTATAGTCACATTCTGTAGGATAGATAAAGCAAACATCAGATACAAATTAAAGCCAGATAGCCTGCGCACCAGCTAATGCACAAGTAAACTGAACAGGAAATAATCTTATGTATTATGTACAAAGACAATATGAGGAATATGTCAATTGAGAAAACGAACACATTTGTACGCTCACATAAGAAATAAATTCATGGTTTCTCTAGCAGTCACACACGATGAGTATACCTTTCTTCTCAGGAAGTGGCACTTCATTTCCATCTGCAACATCAACAAAATTGCCTATCGTAGACAATGGTGGTGGTGCACTAGTAATTGACTGATGTAATAGATCTGTACTTGGAAAGTCTTCTTCTGAGGATGTATGCTGATCTGCAAACTTCAAGTTAGCTGCAAAAGCTTGAAAGAAAATGAGAATGGAGGTAGATGTGATAAGAAGAAACTTAAGAGAGGTAATGTCTCTGTGAGCTTAAGATGACCTGGATGAGTCAAAACCAATGGATCTTGTTGGAGGATTTCAGAATCACAGTATGTGCCCTTCTCCCATTTCCAAAGAAGAAACAACATGAAAAATGCAAGAATGACTAGTTTTGATCCAGCTCTTAGGAGTAAACGTGGCAATCAAATGAAAACAAAACCTAAGCCAGATCACAAAAGCCCGAGTCTGAATGAGGGAAGGGCAATGGGCCACTGGCGTCCGACGAGAGGCCCGTGGACCGTGGTACAGAGTGAAGCAGTAACAGCGATTAATTGCAGATGAGAGGTTAGGTTAAAGTTAAAGAGAGAATTCCTTGTGAGCCACTGGAAAAGTTTAGCGGTCTTCAGCGTCACTGCTTCAACTTTTTTTTTTGCCCTCCATGCCACTGCCGTCAGATTGGGCTCTAACGGTGTCAAACTGCAATGGTGAAAAATCGAAAATACCCTTAAGTCTAAATATGTCATTAATTTTTTTAGCATCTTAACGACTTCAAATGGAAAAACTCAAAACTAGAAAGTTGTAGATCTCGTCGAGATCTATAATTTTCATATAAAAATTATCTTCATTTAAATCCACAAAAAAGATATGATTTGATATGATTAATATATCTTAGAAAAATCATATCTTTTTTGTGGTATTAAAAGAAGATAATTGTTATATGAAAATTATAGATCTCGACGAGATCTACAACTTTCTAGTTTTGAGTTTTTCCATTTGAAGTCGTTAAGATGCTAAAAAAATTAATGACATATTTAGACTTAAGAGTATTTTTGACTTTTTACACCTACAATTTGACACTATTAGGGTTCAATCTGACGGCAGTGGCATGGAGGGCAAAAAAATTTGGAGCAGTGACGCTAAAGACCGCTGAACTTTTTCAGTGGCTCACAGGAAATTGCAATATTTTTTAATGGCTCACAAGGAATTCCCCCAAAATTAAACCAGGTGTGTGTGGGGCTTGCCGGTGTTCTCTCTTCGATCTGCTGCTAGTAGTAAAACCAAAATCATTACATGCTGAGGAAATTAACAGGGTTCATTTATCATGGAGTGGAAGACAAGGTTACTGTTTCTTTGGAAAGAGATAATGGCCCCGTTCGTTGGTCTGAAACTTGACTGAAAAACATTGTTCCGGCTGGTTTGTTGTGAGAGAAAAACACTGTTCGGCTAGTTTGATGAACAGTAACGTGAGAGGAATCCAGCCGGCTGGCTGGTCTGGTTCATACCAACGAACGCAGCCAATGGTGGTTTTTTTTTGTGTTGGTGAAGAGTCTGTAGTGCAGTGCAACGCGTTAGGCGGTTAGGCCCTTCGCTTTCGCTACTCTAACTACTACTAAAAAAACCTAGGTGAGTGCCTGTGCGTTCAATAGGGCCACAATCATATATGCGCAACAAATGTGAAGAATCAACTCAACCAAATACAATTCCTCTCGACATAAAACAACCCGTCATTCAAATTGATGATGGTCTTTTTGATAGTGTCATATGATGTTTGTCATATGGCACATACTCAGAGGACAAAAATTAAGAACACACATCACCCATTTTCTTCAGGAAACCTCGTCGATTTCTTCCACTTGTAGCCTGTCTTGGTCGCTTGGACCATCACCGCTCACTGCTTTTTTTTTCTCGAAAACGCAGGAGAGCTGCGCATAATTATATTAAGAAGATAATAAAATGGGATAAGAACCCACACACACACTACACTGCTGCTAGAAAACTAACGCGCCAGTGACATAAAGATCACGACCAAGGTAGATAGAGCTCTAAGCACCCGGAGCAAGGGCATCCAAGAGGGATAATCCTCGAGCCCCCGCCAACAGACCATATGTCAGCCGGCATGTAGAAGTGCGTGGCGCCCAGGAGAATCTCGGGAAGCGGAAGATGATGGCGCGACTGAGGCTAAGGTTGGCGATCTTGAGTGACATGGTCTTGCAGTCCATGAGCAGGTTGCGTGGCTTGAGATCCCGGTGCAGCACCCCGCGGCCATGGACGAAGGCCACGCCCTTGCACAGCTGGTACATCAAGATCTGCGAGCACAAACATGACATGGGTAAGGCATTCGCACAAACATCTGGCGTGCACCGTTGGAGAAGGAGGAAGAGGGGGGAGGAAGCCACGTACCTTCACGGTGGCCGCGGGGATCTTCTCGCGGTTGCTGCGATGTCTGCGGATGAACTTCTTCAGGTTGGTGTCCATGTACTCGAAGACGAGGTAGAGGATGGTCTGCCCCTCCTTGTTGAAGCCCTGCTTGAGGTGCAGCAGGCGCACCACGTGTGGGTCTCGCGACAAGATCCGCAGTTAGGGAGACCTCCGCCAGCGGTCGGGGTAAGCCCTCGTCGTCCTCGGGGAGCCGCGTCTTCGTCAGCGCCACGATCCGGCCCGTCGCCTTCTCCCGCGCCCTGTACACCTTCCCGTACCTGCCCTCTCGGACTTTCTCTAGCTTCTCGTACAGGTCCAGTGCGCGCCGCCCATCTTCATGATCGGCGCCGACGCCGTTGCTGGACTCGGCTTGCTGCTGGATCCGGCCCTAGCTCGCTCTCTCGCACGGCGACGGCTTTGGGTTGCTCGTCGAGATAGTGTCGGTGGGTGGAGTTGGAGTAGGGATTGGGATCATGGGATGGTGGGAGGATTTATATGCGAGAGGGGGCGGAGCCGTGGAGGGGAAGAAACGAAGAGTGCCTTTTCACTGTTTGATTGAGGGCGGCGCTCTAACGGTTTCCTTTTGGTGATTATGAATTTGTAATCGCCCACTATTTTGGTGGAGGGGCGCACGTATCGTCGCTTGCTTTCATGCGAGTTATGGGCCGTTGATTTGCTTTCATACGAGTTATGTGCCGTTTTTTTCGATAACAGAGTTATGTGCCGTTGTCTGCTTTCATACGAGTTAGGCCCAGATCATATAGAGCCCAGAATGACACGGTTTATCCCCCTTTTTTGTTTTCTATACTGCTAAAAAAGTTCATGAAAGGAGCCCGACATATATAACAGTATTGCCTATTCACCGTCATATACTATCCAAGTTTGAAAAAACGGTATGTTGTGAACTGTAACAGTATTGCATATTCACCGTCATATACAATGGAAGTTTGAAAAAACGGTATGCTGTGAACTGGCGTCTCTCCGTCCGGCCGCTCCATTGCTGGACTACGACGCTAGCCCAACAACCCACGCTCCTTCGTTTCTCAAAAAAAAATACTTATCCACTTATTTCTATCCACTCGTTCCTCTTCCTAGCATTCTTATCCACTTGCTTGCTGCCTCCGATAGTACGGGCGCTGTCCTTGCACGGCCTCCCCGTCGCTCGTGCAGTCGATGCCTCCCTTCCACGACGTGCAGCCACTACCGCCGGCCCGACGCCTACAAGTGCTGCTGGCCCGCTGCCTCCGGTAAACACCACACACCGACGAGCCTCTATTCTACCGTGTAGCAAGGAGATGTTGCGTTAAAAGTGCATGTTGCAAGAGTATGTTTCAATTGTTTTAGACGTTTCAAAGGTATGTTGCAAGTGTTTCATATGAATGTTGCAAAAATAGATCGTTATGTTGCATTGTACACGTATGTAGCAAGCGCCCATTCCAAATGTTTCATCTGCTTTTTCAGACGTGCGTTGCAAGTGCACTTATTTGGATGTTGCATATGTTTCACACATATGTTGCAAGACTATGTTGAAAATGTTTTAGCTATTTCAGTCTTCTGTTGCAATAAGTGTTTTTGTGTTGCAAGTTGCGAGTGTTTTATCTAGATGTTGCATGTGTTTCACACACATGTTGTAAGTGTATGTTTCAAATATTTCATCTGCTTCAGACGTATGTAGCGTTCAAGTGTTTCATGTTGCAAGTGTTTCGTCTTTCAGATGTATGTTCAAGGAGTCATGGGGGCACGGTCCGAGCGCCGGGGTAAGGGGCACGGTGAGCCAGGGACCGGCGAATGGGGCGTGCGGCGCGGCTGGGTTCCTGCGGACGGGGCATGCTCGTCCTCATCCTGGCTCCTGGGTCCCACCCGCACGGAGAGAGAGGAAGGGGTTAGGGAGAAGGAGCGGCGGGCGCGGGGCGAGGCGAGACGGACGGGGTGAGGGTGCGCGTGCATGGCGGGACGAGACAGACGAGAAAGGACTGCAGCGATGCGGTGGGAATGCGGCGTGTTTTTGCTGGCCGTTCGGTACCGTCCGATGGAATCCTATCCATCGAATGTCCGGACGCTAGTAATTCCCTTGAAAAATAGAGAAAAGTAAGTAATGTATTTGGTGCTACATATTTTGATCTTTGACCTGAGTCAAACTTATAACAATTTGACTTACAAAAAACTCAGAAATCTTTATATTTGTCAACAGAGGGAGTACTTAGAGCATCTCCATACTCAATCTCCTATATCGAAAAAAACAGCATTTAGGAGATACATGCGAAGCATCAGATCTCTTATCTTTTAAGAGATCTCCCAAAAAGAAGCGTCCTTTCTCTTAAATGAAGAAGACAACCCTCTCTCCTCTGAAGAAATATAGGAGCCAAAATTTAGGTAATCCGCTACCGCAGTGTTCTCTTGTATTCTAAATTGAGTTTAAGACACTGTCTAAACCAACTTATAGTAGATACATTATAAGATATATGTTGGAGATGCTCTAAGTTTGCTTGTTATCCAACTCAAGAAACAAAATCATTTGCCTGTTTTGAAGCGAAGTGAGAGGAACTTTGATTTGAAAAGAGAATAAAGGACACATAGTTGCTCCTTCAGCACGACCCTCTAAACATACACAACCGAAAAACACCACTCTCAAGAATTGGAATACATGTCTCGTCTTGTCTCATCGAAATGACCAGATGTCAATTTACAGGCATATATGTTACTGAAACCTGAGCTTCTCTGCATATGTACCGTAGGCTGCTGAATCAGATCGTCTCTTTCATGTGAGCCTGAACGATCGGACAGCCTGCAAAAGTATAGGGCAGGAGAAGAACGGAAACCATAAACCATCATCATAAAAGAACAGGGAGCAGAACAGAGCAGAATCAACACGGGATCGTCTCACCTTCTCGATCTGAGGCCTGTACTTCTCCGAATCGTCGTCGTCGATGTACTGCAACGAGACAGACAACAGCATTTGTTCGAAGCTGTTAATCCAGCTGAGGAAGCAGGCGTTGGCTTGCCAAGCTGTAGCAGGAGGCTCACCTGGCCTGTCACCGTGTAGAGGCGGTTGTACCAGCCGTTGAACGCCATCCCGATGGCCGAGACGATGTGCCGCCGCCGCTCGCCGGGGTTCTGCAGCGTGTACTCCAGGTAGTACAGACCTGCAGCGCGCAGTCAGTGTGCATATATATGGTCAGGTCAGGTTCAGAAGCGCTACGTTCCTTCCGTCAGTTGTGCTGTGACTGTGAGCTAGTAGTAGTACCGTTTGCCGCCCTGGAGTCGATGAGCTTGGCGGCGAGCCCCGGCGGCTTCTGCCAACTCCTGTCCAGGCCGTTCACCTGCTCTCAGACGATGGCCATGAGAACTCAGAGCACGGCTTGCATTGGTTGGTGCCAAATCAGTCAGCAATGTTGAGACTGTGATGTGGGGCAGACATTACAGCCGCCGGCATCGAGCACGAAGCACAGCTCGCTCTAGCACGCTGGCCCAGCAGGAGCATGAAGAGGCCAGGACGGCTGGAGAATAAAGTCACTCGCGTGGCTCAAGGAGAAGAGAAGGAGATTAGTCTTTAATTAGCCAGGTCCATCGCATGGCTCAAGGAGAAGAGAAGGGGTTAGTCTTTAAATTAGCCGGTTGGTTGAAAGGGCCAGGATTAGTATCGAGGAGTCCTCCTCCTATATATGTAACCCAGCTACTCTATTAGAAAGGCAATGAAGAAACAAGTTATCCCTAATCTCATCTCCCTGCTCACTCTTCAATCTCACCTTTGCTGGGCGTCCAGGGAAGAACCCTGGCGCCACCATTGCCTACCTCCAGTTACGAGTTAAGAAGCCAGGGGCCGGCCACCAGGGGGCTTGAGGCCCTTGACAACTTGGTATCGGCAGTCCGTCGATCCTCCTCTCACCCATCCACCTCCACCACGCCGACGCCTGCTTAATCTCCCACCCACTCCTCTATTTCCTCCCACACCATGGCCGACCCAACGCCCGCTGAGTTGGCTGCCATGATCAAGCAACTCTCCACCAACATGACGGAGATGCAGACGCAGCTCTCCACCTCCATCAACACCATGCAGCAGTAGATCGGCGCCTTGCAGCTGGCGCAGCCGCCTTCATCTTCAGCCGGTTCAGGGGGTTTGGGTCACCCCAACACCGATCGGCCGCCCCGTTTCTAGAAGCTCGATTTCCCCAAGTTCGACGGGAAATCCGACCCGCTCGCCTTCGCGCTGCTGCCGCGCGAGGGTCTGTTGGAAGAGGAGCAGTGCATCCAGGCGTTCACGGCGGGCCTCTAGCCGCCCCTCAGCCACGACGTGGAGATGCACAACCCCCAGACTCTCATCATCGCCATGAGTCTGGCCCGGAAGGTGGAGATCCGCGAGTAGAGCGTCGCTTCCGCCGTGGCTGCGCCTGCGGTCCCGGCGCCGCGTTTGTCGGGCCGTGGCCTGCTGGCCGGGCCGCCGCAGCAGCTCGCCCTTCCAGCCCCGCCTCTGCAGCAGAGCCGCACCACTGCCACGCCGTCCTTCGAGGGCCGCCAGGTCCGCCGGCTCTCCTCGACGGAGATGGAAGACCGCCGACGGCAGGGCCTCTGTTTCAATTACAATGAGAAGTACTCCCGCGGCCACAACCGGGTCTGCCAACGCCTGTTCTTCCTGGACAGCGTAGAGGAGGATGATCCAGAGGACACGGTCCCAGCAGCCACCACCGACGATCCGCTGATATCGCTCCACGCAGATGCAGATGCAGATGCACATCATCCTGGGCGGCGTATCTCTGCTGGCCCTGCTGGATTCTGGCTCGACGCATAATTTCATCGCCGAGGAAGCAGCCGCGCGGACTTCACTTCGACTGCAGCTCAAGGGCGACATGAAAGTCACAGTCGCTAATGGTGAGCGGGTGCAGTGCCCAGGCGTGTTCCGCGCGGCGCCCTTCTCCATCGAGGGCGCTTCCTTCACGCCTGACTTCTTCGCGCTCCCATTGGCCGGCTACGACGTCGTTCTCGGCACTCAGTGGCTGGCATCGTTGGGCCCTATCCTCTGGGATTTCGGCGCCTTGACCATGTCCTTCTGGCACCTTGACCGCCAGTTGTGCTGGAAGGGCGTGGCTGGACCAGCAAGCCCCAGTCTAAAGGCGTGCCACTCCACCGACTTGATGCGGGCTCTCTTGGATGAGTTCGCCACGGTCTTCGCCGAGCCTGACGGCATGCCACCCCCACGCTCCCGGGATCATCACATCAATCTACTACCGGGCTCGGCACCCGTGGCTGTTCGTCCTTATCGCTACCCAACATCACACAAAGACGAGCTGGAGCGCCAGTGCTCCTCCATGCTGCACCAAGGCATCATCAGGTGCAGCAATTCTGCGTTCTCTTCACCAGTTCTGCTCGTCAAGAAGGCGGATGGCTCCTAGAGATTTTGCGTCGACTATCGCGCACTGAACGCCATCACGGTCAAGGACGCCCACCCAACCCCAGTCGTCGACGAGCTCTTAGATGAGCTACACAGCGCCCGGTTCTTCTCCAAATTGGACCTGCGTTCCGGGTACCACCAGGTCCGGATGCACCCAGCGGACATAGAGAAGACCGCGTTCAGGACGCATGATGGGCTGTACGAGTTTCTGGTCATGCCTTTCGGCCTCTGCAACGCGCTGGCCACGTTCCAGGCCCTCATGAACGACGTGCTCCGGCCGTTCCTCCGTCGCTTCGTCCTCATCTTCTTCGACGACATCCTCATCTACAGCCACTCCCTCGCCGAACATCTACAGCGTGTGAGAGCCGTCCTCACCACCCATCGTCACCACAGGCTCTTCGTCAAGCGTACCAAGTGCGAGTTCGGGGTTTCCTCCATAGGCTACCTGGGGCACATCATATCAGCCCAGGGCGTAGCCATGGATCCAGAGAAGGTGCGCACGGTGGCGGACTGGCCGCAACCACGCTTAGCCCGAGCAGTCCACGGCTTCCTAGGCTTGGCGGGCTACTACCACAAGTTTGTGAAGGACTTCGGGGTGATTGCTGCGCCACTCACCGCCCTTCTCAAGAAAGAAGGTTTCTCCTGGCCGCCGGAGGCTAAGGGCGCCTTCTCTGCACTCAAAACAGCGGTCACCACGGCGCCCGTCTTAATCCTCCCCGACTTTAGCCAGTAGTTCGTCGTGGAGTGTGATGCTTTGACTCATGGCTTTGGCGCTGTACTGCTCCAAGGGCCGCACCCGGTGGCTTTCTTCAGCCATCCAGCCGCGCCTCGGCACAGGTCACTGGCGGCCTATGAACGTGAATTGATCGGCCTCGTCCTAGCCATCAGGCATTGGAGGCCATACCTCTGGGGCCGTCCCTTTCTGGTAAGAACTGATCACTTCAGTTTGAAGTTTTTACTTGACCAGCGGCTATCCACCATCCCGCAACATCACTAGGTGGGCAAGTTGCTGGGATTCGACTTCACGGTGGAGTACAAGGCGGGCGCCAGTAATACGGTGGCTGACGCGCTCTCGCGCCGCGACACTGAGGACACCACGGTGATGGCCATCTCAGGCCCCCGGTTCGACTTCGTCGCACGCCTCCGTCAAGCCAATCTGCAGGACCCAGCTTTGGTCACCCTTCAGGAGGACATCACGTCTGGCAATCACGGGGCGCCATGGTCCGTCACGGACGGACTGGTCACGTTCAACGGCCACCTCTACCTTCCGCCAGGTGCCCCACTCCTCCATGAGGCCCTGACGGTTGTCCATGAGGACGGCCATGAGGGCATCCAACGCACGCTCCACCGACTTCAGCGCGACCTCCACTCGCCCAACTTGAGGGCGGTTGTCCAAGACTTCGTGCGCGCTTGCGAGATGTGCCAAAAATACAAGACAGAGCATCTGCACCCCGCCGGACTGCTCCTTCCCCTCCCTGTACCGTCCTCTATCTGGACTGACATAGGGATGGACTTCATCAAGGCACTTCCAAAAGTGGGCGGTAAATCTGTGATCCTCACCGTCGTCGACAGGTTCAGCAAGTACTGCCACTTCATTCCACTGTCCCATCCATACTTAGCGGAATCCGTGGCACAGGCTTTCTTCTCCGTCGTCGTCAAGCTCCATGGACTGCCCTAGTCCATCGTCTTAGATCGCGACCCCGTCTTCACTTCAATCTTCTGGAAGGAACTCATGCGCCTGACAGGGATCAAGCTCCATATGACGACTGTGATCCACCCCCAATCCGATGGATAGACAGAGGCTGCCAACAAAATTATTGTCATGTACCTACGCTGCATGACGGGTGACCGGCCCCGGCAATGGCCGCAGTGCATGCCATGGGCTAAATTCGTCTTCAACACCGCCTACCAGTCTGCTCTGAAGATGATGTTGTTTCAGGTGGTGTACGGCAGGGAGACACCCTCCATTCATTCCTATGAGCCAGGCGAGACGCGCGTCGCCGCAGTGGCCAAGACCATGGCTGAACACGACGAGCTGCTGGCTGACGCACGTGCCAGGCTGGAGCAGGCGCAGATGGTGTACAAGCGCTGCTATGATCAGCATCACCACGACGTCCGCTTCAACACAGGTGATTGGGTTTGGCTCCGTCTCAGACACCGTGCTCCAGCTTCGCTGCACGGAGTCACCAAGGGCAAGCTTCGACCACGCTTCTACGAACCGTATCGTGTGGCGGAGGTCATCAACGAGGTTGCCTATCGCCTCGACCTGCCACCACGCGCACGCCTCCACAATGTGTTCCATGTCGGCCTCTTGAAGCAGTTCGTGGGTTCGCCGCCATCATCTCCACCGCCTCTGCCTCCAGTCCATCACGGCGCCACTCAACCTGTACCAGAGCGCGCCACCCGCACCAGGCTGGCCCGGGGCGTGCGTCAAGTGCTCATTCACTGGCAGGGCGAACCCGTGGCCTCTGCCACCTAGGAAGACATCGACTCCTTCCAAGACCTCTACCCAAGCTTCTAGCTCGAGGACGAGCTGCTCGTCGAGGGGGGAGAGATGTGATGTGGGGGCGACGTTACAGTCGCCGGCATCGAACACGAAGCATAGCTCGCTCTAGCACGCTGGCCTAGCAGGAGCATGAAGAGGCCAGGACGGCTGGAGAATAAGTCACTCGTGTGGCTCAAGGAG